ATATCTGAGGATGAAGGAGCGGAGGTTAAGCTCACTAGAAACAATGTTAAAGCTTTTATACGAGTGAGTTTTTTTTATTTTTGTGCAACATTATATATTGGTATATATCTTGATATGATTTTTATTTTAGTTTAAGCTTCCATGTTTTAATCCAATTTATAACTTTAGGACATCTTCACTGGGGGCACCGATAACACTTCATTAACGGTGCAATGGGCGATGGCTGAACTCATTAATAACCCAATCTACATGCAAAAAGCTAGAGCTGAACTCGACACTATTGTAGGAAATCATCGATTGGTGGATGAAAATGATATTCCCAACCTCCCATATCTTAAGGCCATCGTGATGGAAACACTTCGTCTCCATCCTCCAACCCCTTTAATCCCTCGTGAATCTGACAAAGATTGTATGGTCGATGGCTTCAACATCCCAGCTAAGACAAGACTTTTCATCAATGTTTGGGCCATTGGTCGTGAGTCTAAATATTGGCCCGACCCTCTCAAGTTTATGCCAGAGAGATTTTTAGTAAATGAGGACAATGATAATGTTATCATCGATGTAAGGGGCCAACATTTCCATTTAATACCATTTGGAAGCGGAAGGAGAGGTTGCCCAGGAATAACAGCAGCACTTCAAGTCGTGTATAGTGCATTGGCCTCACTAATACAATGCTTTGAGTGGAAGGTTGTTGGAGATGGAGAGAAGATTGACATGACTGAGGCGTCTGGATTGACGCTGCGGAGGGCTACTCCTTTGCTGTGTATTCCAGTGTCCCGTCACATTAGTTTGTTACCTTTATCATGAGTATATATTTGGGTGAAATATAGTCTATATTATGTTTGGTAGGTGAAAAATAAATGGTGAAGTTGAGTTCTTAATTTATATATATGATCTCCTTTTAAAATTGATGTATGAAAAAAGAAGTCAAACTCAAAAAGAAAAGAAAAGAAAGAAGAAATGAAGAAAATTTAAAAGGAGAGTATGTGAGCTTGAGAGTTGTATTTTGTATTGTGTTATAAGTTGGATTAAAAATATTTTAGTTTATGTGCGACAAATTTCTAACTCCGCTTATGTCTATTTTGATAATATATTTGATATATTGACTTCATGGAATTTGAAATTATTAACGAAAGCAAAAATAAGTGCACATACATGCATGCATGGATTCAAGCTCATGAGGGCTTTAAGAAAAAAAAAAAGTAAGATTCATTAAATGAATAAGAAAATAAAGAAGGTTGAATATTTCATAATTTTTTTTTATTATTTTTCTATGCATTATACATGGATCAAACTATATCTTGTATAAGTATCAGTTATATAAAATCTATCCTTACAAAGATTAATACAAAATACCTGTTATAACATTTTTTAGCAACGGGTAATGTATTGGAAATATTTAATTAACATATCTAATTATTTAGTCATATGAAAAAGGAGATATGGTTGCCTAGCACTATTTCTTAGCTATGAATCAATGAAGAAACACAATAGAGAGATTGAATAGGAAATACATAAATCATTGAGCAACAAGCTACTTTAAGGAGGATCATGTAGATTCTATGATTAACAAGTTAAGTATTCATTTAAATTTATACTTTTAGAAAAACCTTTCATTAGCTAATGATTAGCAGTGAGGACATGTAGGTGGCATGATGTGGTTGAAGGAAGAACAAGCTTTAAAGAATCATTTACACAAAATGGGGACGGTTTATGATTCAAATAACCTCCATTTGAGGAAATATGTACAACACTTTCCACAAAAATCCCTAGCATAATGTTTGGGAGAGAGATGGAGAAACATTTTTGGCTCAAATAAAATCAAAAGGCGTTGATGCTTCCAAAAAAATAGAGATTATGCTTATTTTTTATTAAATACCCTCAATCATCTCCAATACAAATTTATCAAAAATATAAATTTGTGTTAAAGGATGAGATTTGCTTGCTATAATATTTGAGTTAGTTATAACTAAATCCATATGTATGTATCAATACAATAAAAATAATCAGTCACTCTCTTAAGACTGTGAATAATTATCTCTAATAAGCACCTAAAATCTTAAACTACAAACTTGTCAACAACTATTTAAAGCAAGCCACTAGGTTCCATATCTATAAACTAATTTTGTTTTTTAAAATTATCATGAAGCCTTAAACAATCCTTGAAAACATGAGCATTAGATTAAAATGAATAAAATTTTACCCAAAAAACTCTTACTAAATAAATTTTCTTTATTAATATCAACTAAAATTCATCCTTGTAGTAACATAAAATGTTCATTTCCATTAATACTCCAACAATCGATGGTGTGAAAAGGGAAAGATTCAATGAATTTTAAGAGGCTGTCCAAAAATTGATGCTTGAGAAGATAAGGCATTGAAGTACATAAAATGGACCCTTAAGTGAGGGAATGATGTCAAAATTTGCAGGATAGATGATACTTTAATAACATTAAAAATGGGCACCTATTTGACTACATACAATAGAAAATCATTAATAGATAAAGTCAGTTTTAAAATATAATGAAATAAGAATTCGCATTAGTAATTGAACAATAATGTTAAATTGACCTTAATTTTGATTAGAATTATATGTTCCAAAGCTTTTTAGACTAGTGTTGTAACTAATTAGCTAAGCAAGCTCGTATTATTTTTATACAAGACTTATTCATCCCTTAATTAAGCCTTTATCCTTACATTGTCACTACCCTTAAACTTTACAAAGTCTTAAGAGGCTTTATCATAGGGACCCTTATTTTAGACTATTATAGAACCTCAATTTTCTACTATGAACATAAATTGATTAGACTTTATTTGGCCTTATATCAACTTAACCTTAATTCACCTCAATTAGTTTACAACTATATGTTGAGCTTTGTCAACCTAAAGTCATTATTAGTTCCTATAAGTTTAGCTCTTTTTAAACCCATCTTAAGTGATTTAGAAATTTGTTGAGGGTATTTTAGGGGATGATAATTCATTCTACTATAAACTCTAATGGTCATTGATAATTATAGTTACCAACCCCAGTTAACCTTTGGCCTTCTCAAAAAGGCAAAAATATCATATAGCCAATGATTTTTCTAATTGTTGTTGACTCAGACCCCTAATACATTGTTGCCTCTACATAGATGTGACTCTCTATAGTTATCAAAGCCTTATTGACCTTATTTGTCGATAAGTTCTTGTCCTTAACAAATGACTCATTATGCATCTCTATATGAATAAAAGATTTCTTTACGAAAAATCATTATTCAACATCACGACTTATGATAGACACTTAAATATTGATGTCACCACATTTCATGTTTTGCCAGCTCTAACCCCAACCCCCAACCCCACATTCACACCCTCTTCCCACGCTTAAATTGGTTAAACCTAAGATCCTTTCATTTTGATGATAGATTTTTGGAGAAAGCTTGGGTTTTTTCTAAAAGGGCCCAGAAGTAGCTAAGGCATCTATGAATAATTACACTAATCATTGGCACCAATTAGCACATGGGTCCAAGATACCAGTTCCAACCTTTTATAAGTACTGTCATAACAATTGCTCAAGGTTTGAATTTCAGAAGGTTAGCTTCTAGAAGATTTTTATCCAACGAGTTATAATTTTTTATGGAAGGAAATTTAAGAACTCTAAATAAAGAGTCTAAAGCCGCCACTCAAGTTCTTTTTTCTTTTCCTTTCAATCTTCCATATCATTGAAAGAAAATATTCACATTTGTTTTACCTTGATACTATAAAAAGACTCATAGAAAACTCATTTACTTTATGCTCAGGGCTTCATAAAAGGTAATTTTTTTTAAATCACCTAATAATTCTAAAATATTTTCATACATGATTCTCTATAGGTTGCAACCCTATAGACATTTTTTTTAGCATTTCCCTGTTTATCTCTTAGTAAGATTGAAAGAGAAACCTCAACCCTTTTTTATGCGCATTCTACACACTAAAAAGCTTAAGAATATAGGTAACCTCCTCAATTTGTTAAAGGACCTGTAAAGTTCCCATTTAATAATTCATAACAAAATTAATATTCTATAAGAAATCCTGCAAAGTAACCATTGTACATGATGAAAAAAATACATCAACTACAAGAGAAGGCATGCTCCTCCATCTTCTTTCATAGCATTTAAACTTCCTTCTTGAGAGATATTAAATAATTATTCTCAATTATATAATAGTTTTTCAACTACTAAGGTCTTGGAGGATTGAAAGATTTAAAACAAACTATTCTTTACTTTTTATTAAATATAATAGTTTTCACTTTAGGGCATAAGGATACATGGAAATAACATATAGGAATAATTGCTAAATAATGTAAACAATAGTGCAAACAAACAAATTCAATATGGAAATCTTGTATGCTTCATTAAGCTAGTTATAGAATAATACCCAACAAAATAAAAATTTTTATTAACTTTGGTTATTAAGTCAAATCCCATTAACTGTACATCAAACAAAAGTTTTATTGAGTTTTGTACCTTCATACATCTATTATATGCAACAAAAATGTGTTTTAGAAGTATGTCTCTCCACATATATTATATTTTTAGCTTAAAATACTTGTGATGAAACATATGCCATTTTGCTTGGGAGTTATCTTGGTTGTCATCTAGTGCTAGTTATGTAAATTGTGCCTAAGTATGACATATATATGCTTGTTTTTGTCCCTCACTAATTTTTTCACAACTTTGCACTATTATAAAGGCATTCATATAATTTTTTTTGCCTCTTTTTCCATAATTTCATTAGCAAAAGAAACAAATTTTATCATCATGTCGGTCGCCAAATTGGAAGTTGTCGGTTGTCGGAATGGATATTCCGACGCCCAATTTAATTTAATTTACATATATATAATTTGGGAAAGTAGTATTTGAAATTTTGAAAATACAAGACCAAACCGATCTCATATCCTCAATAGTTTAAATAAATGAGCCTAATACCACAAGCACAAGCAATGCCTAATACCACAAGCAATGCATATATCCTGAAGGGTAGACACACTACTTACTCGTAAGGCTTGATTAAATAAACGACATAATTTATGACATCCGTTTAAGTCTGTGAAAAAACTATTTTTTATGTTGACCGACAAGTTCCCCTATTTAATACAAAAAATTAAATAAGGTTTATATTATGCTGGGTTCTTGAAAGTTTTCTATAAGGGAAAACCCATATAGTTAATTACATTTTAGATAACCGAAGTCACCTAAGAAAACACGATAAAAATCAGGGGATATTGTCTTCAAGAATTTCAAGGTATAGGAATTCAAAAGATCAGGCAAAGAGGTGTGAAACAGGAATGACTCAAATTTGAAACATTTATTTTGAAATCCAAAGGAAGAAGAACTAGGGGATGTCACAGATCCTGAGGAGAACCTTGGTGACTTCCCAAGCTATCTTACTGTTTAACTTCAGTTTTGGAGAGTAGAATTACTGAATGTTTCGTCCTACCAATTTTATTACTTAGGGCTAACATGTGCGAGATGGTAGCCTGGAAGATATGAGGATTTAGTTCATGATGAATGACAACATCGGAATCCTAAAATGAGTTAGGGCTTAAATTATATAGCATGATTGTGCAGGCTATTGCCAACACTATTTTTGGTTGTGGAGTTACCCGTTGGAAACTGTCGGTGGTCGGAACCGGAATCCCGTCGCCCGCTTCGGATAGACATTTAATTTATATATATATATATATATATATCTATTTCGAAATATAAACACAAGACTTTAGGGTTAGACTTGATCAAATAAACTAAGAGATGTATGACATCCATTTGGTCGGCGAAAATCATTTTATTTGCCAAAAAGTTCTCCTATTTAATACAAAGAATTAAATAGGGTTTATATTAAGCTGGGTTCGAAAAAGCTCCTTATAAGGGCAAGCCCCCATAGTTACTTACACCATAGATAACCGAAGTCACCTAAGAAAAATCTCGATAAAAATCAAAAAATATAATCTTCAAGGAGTTTAAA